AAATTTTTTTAAGTTTATTTATTTATTTTGAGGGGGGCGAGGGGCAGAGAGAGGGAGAGAGGGAGCATCCCAAGCAGGCTCTACAGTGTCATCATGGAGCCCAATGTAGGGCTTAAATTCATAAACTGTGAGATCATGACCTAAGCCAAAATCAGGAGTTGGGACACTTAATCAACTAAGCCACCCAGGTGCCCCCAAAATAATTCTTATTTAATTGAAAAGCTTATAATCCATTGATCTCATTTTTAAATTTGATGCTAAAATATTGCAGAATTGGCCATTTCGAAGCCCCTCAGGTTGACTCCTATGAACTTTTGCCATCTTCTTTGAACATTACTTTCTGGCACAATGAGATGTTCTAGGATCATCTTTTATTTTATCTGCCCCAGCATTGGAATCAGTCATTTCTTAAGGCATTCTGGTTTCTTTTTGTGGAGAGTTTAGAACCTAAGTTCTGGACACTTAAGTATCATCATTTTGCTACTGGAGCGCCATTGTGTCTAGGCTCAATGGAGCTAAGAAATCTCTATTTCTATCTCTAATCTCCAAGTCCATATTGATATTTCAAAATCGAATCCAACACCAGAAAGTTCATTTTAGTTTTTCTCCTGTCTGTTTGTAACTCCTGTCTCCAAGTGAGAAACCCGGCTCACATTATTCTCGGCATATCTACTCATTTTACCAGTCTCAGATTCACAGAAAAGAGTTTCAGAATTGCTAACACTCCCACTAGAAAAAACATATGCACTAACCAGTGTTCAATATTTGTTAAAAGATTCTTGTCTTTAGACTGAGGGTATATAGTCAAAACTCTGTATTTGAAGGTAGTTATTTTTCCCTTCAGTGTGATTGTTATTCATTTGAAATATAGTTGGCCTCATTTGTTTCTGTTTATATTTTTTCCCCTCCATCATTGTTAATTTAACTTCATTATTGTTGTCACCATCGTCATCATCGTCTTTGTGAGTATGTAAAATATTAACATGGTCCCAAACCCAAAATTATACAAAATGCTATATTTAAAGGAGTGTTACTTTTCCTTCTCCACCCCATCCACCTTTTTTAAAAAAGTTTATTTATTTATTTTGAGTGCGAGTGGGAGAGGGGCAGAGAAAGAAGGAGAGACAGAGGATCCCAAGCAGGCTCCATGCTGCCAGCACAGAGCCCGATGTGGGGCTTGAGCTCACAAAACCATGAGATCATGACCTGAGTCCAACCAAGAGTTGAATGCTTAACTGACTGAGCCACCCAGGTGCCCCCCTGCCCCATCTACCTTGTTAATGCACCCTCATTAGTTTCCTGTTCAACCTTCAGGAGTCTCTTTTTGTAAATATAAATAAACACATTTATATTATCTTATTGAAGCATCAGCCTGAGGGATAGGCATCTAATTTAACACATTTCGCAGCCTGCTGGAACACTCTCTGGGGATAGAGATTGGTTCCATCTTTATGCTCTCCCTTTGCCATGCTCGAAAGCACCAGCATTTCTTGGAAGGGAGCTTTTACATGTATTTGGTCCCCTGATTTCTGCAGCTGCTCCCCAGACGACACCCCTTGATTGCCTGGCTCTAGTAGCCGGGGTTGGGGTGGGGGATTGCATTCCTGGGTCCCAGGAGACTATGGCAATCAGAAAGACCGTTTTTGTCAGGGTGCCACCCCCAGGACATTGCACAGATAGCAGACTGAAGCACACCTCCCAGTCTTTCTGTGAAACAGACCTCTTTGCTTATCCTGGAGCTTTGGTCTGAGGAGTAGGCTTCAGGTTTGGCACACAGCTAGTGGCCTATGGAGCTGCTTTCGAGGAACATGGCCTATGGATGCCATCTTGGTGCTCTCTCTCTGCCTTGCTCCAGCTAACCAGTATCTCCCAGAAAAGAGTTTATTTTCTCTTCTTTATTACACAAGAGTAGTGTACTCTATATGCTTTCTTACACTGGTTTATTTTGACTGACAGCAAGTATATCCTGGAAATCACTCTATATCATACCTTCTTTAGTTTTTTTTTTTTAAGTTTATTTTTTTTGAGAGATAGAGAGAGAGTGAGAGAGAGACAGGAAGGGAGAGAACATGAGTAGGGGAGGGGCAGAAAAAGAGGGAGAGACAGAATCCCGAGCAGGCTCTGCACTGTCAGCTCAGAGCCCAATGCAGGGCTCAGTCCATGAACTGTGAGATCATGACCTGAGCTGATATGAAGGGTTAGGTGCTTAACCTACTGAGCCACCCAAGTACCCAACCAACACCTTATTTAGTTTTTACTTACAGCAGTATAATACACCATCGTGTGAATGTACCATAATTTATTCAACCAATCTTCTATGTATATTTTATCCCAATGTTTTTTCAATAACAGTTAGTGATGTTCCTTGTTCATATGCATTTTTGTATTCCTGAAGGTGTACCTTCAATGTAAATTCTTAGATATGAGTCAAATGGTAAACTCACTTGTGATTTTGTTAGATATTGTCAAATTCTCCCTCCATAGAGGTAGGGGACATTCCCACCAGCAGTGTGTAAGAATGTCTCTTGCCTTATGGTCTTGTCAAGAGAATGTGCCATCAAGCTTTGTAGTTTTACCAAATTTAATCATTGAGAAACAGTAATTCAGCATAGTTGTAATTTCTCTTATTATGACTGAAGTCCATCTTTTCATCTGCTTAAAGGTCATTTTAAAATCTTTATTTGTGAATTGTCTCTTTGTGACTTTGACATATTTTTCTTTTTCTTTCTTTCTTTTTTTTGTCTTAACCCCCTCAATTTTAGAGTTCTTTATGTAGTAAGGATAGATATTAGCCCTTATCTCTGATGCCTGGTAATCATGGCTATTTTAAAATCAGTCTGTGAGTCTCTTTTATTGTCTTTTTAAAAAAAATAATTTTGGGTTTTGACCATTTGTTCCTCTTTCCTAGTAGGCCTAGGTTTTGACTGAATGCCAGACTTGGTGTATGAAAAGTTGTAGAGGCTATAGGTGGTGTTATTTTCCTCTAGAGATGATTTCGTTTCCTACTGGCTGACAGATGATGTTTGGGTAGGTAAGCTTGATCGAGGCTGCTCAATTTAAGGTTTCTCCTCATTGTAAGGGAGTAGCCCTTCTTGGGTTGAAATTGAAAGGCTGGGGGGTCTCCTCAACACAACAAGACTCCTATTTTCTCCTTAGGTTTTTAACCTGGTAGTAGTTGCATTTGGCTCGTTTGTTGGTTTCACCAGAACACACGTAGTGGAGGAGTGAGCAGATGCCCTGAGGGGAACCTGCACCACCAGGCTCACTTCTCTGCAGCTCACCCTCTCCAGGATGTTGGCCTATCACTTTTGTCCCCTCTATCAACACAGCAAGACCACCATGAGCTGTAGGTTCCTGCCATTCTGAGGCGTTGTTAGCCACATGGTGAGCTGGCAAATACCCTGATGAGAAATAGGGATGGTGAGTACAGGGTTCATCAGTGTATTACCCTGTTCCCAAGGTTACAGCCTGTAAAGTTCTGCCTTCTTGGTTATTTGCCCAGAGCTTCAGGCAGCTCTTCTTTTACATTTTATCTAACTTTTAGAGTGGTTCTCAAATAGAGGGGTTATCCTGATACTAGGTATTCTGTCCTAGCTAGCAGCACCATTCGTGTCTCCACTTAGCACATTGCATTGAATTTATATGGAAATGAGAGGACACAGGCAAATCAGCAAGGCCTTTTAAAGGATAAAGAAAGGGGCCTGCTCAAACACTGCTGGGGAGGGTGTAAGTTGGTGCCACCTTTCCAGAGGGTGTTGATTTATATCAAAATCTTTAACACTTCCTTTGCCCTTTGACTCAGCACTTCTGCTTCTAGGTGTTTATCCTGAGAGAATAATCATGGATGTGTGTGGAGGTTTATTTACACAGGTTCTAAGCCCAGTCAACAAAATTGGAGTGAAAATCCTAAGTATGAAACAATGGAGGATTCAATAAATTGTGGTGCTTCAATACGATGGAATATTAGGGAACTCAACATTAGAAATGATATAGAAGACTATTTAAACATAATAATGATCAATAGTTAAGCACAAGAGATTATGACACATGTGCAGTATGGCCCAATTTAAGGTTGTATATACAGATACATAGAGATAAGACTGGAATAACGCATATAGCTGGTATTGTTGGGTTATTGGGTGTTTCCCTCCCTTCGTTATGCATATTTAAAATTGTTTCCATTTTTGGAAAATTAATTTTGTTCAAAGAAAAAATAAATACACTTAAAAAAAAACCCCTGATAGTTGGTAGGCCCAGTTGATAATATTTTCTGGCAAACATTTTATTTTATACTGGTTGCGTGAGTTCTGTCTTTATGCCCTCAGTGGTGTTACAGATTTCATCAGAAACAGTACCTGCCTATGTGAAAGAATGAAATCTTGCCATTGGCAACAACGTGGATGGAACTGGAGGGTATTATGCTAAGTGAAATAAGTCAGAGAAAGACAGATATATGTTTTCACTCATATGTGGAACTTGAGAAACTTAACAGAAGACCATGGGTGAAGGGAAGGGGAAAATAGTTTCAAACAGAGAGGGAGGCAAACCGTAGGAGACTCTTAAATACAGAGAACAAACTGAAGGTAGATGGGGGGGCACAGCAGGGGGAAAATGGGTGACAGGCTTGTTGGGATGAGCACTGGGTGTTGTATGTAAGCGATGAATCATGGGAATCTACAGTACCTGACTCAGAAATATTTTGTGGAACAGAAGACTTCCATACAAATATACTTTGAATTCCTACTAGTCAGATTCAAACAGAGGCTTCACTGTTTCTGTCAGTGTTTGCAAAAGCCTTTTTAGTAAGGAGTCCTTTAGTAAGGAGTCCTTTTAAAGGTTTGTGACAAAGACTTGGATTATAAGGGAAGATTTATTTCCTAGAAAACAAATCTAGTTTCCTTTTGAAACCAATGGCCAAAACTTAAATGAAATTGCTTTTGTAAAACTGAAATCACGATTTCTGCAAACCATCCTTATTCTCTGTTGTTTTCTTCTTGAAGGTCTGTTCTGAGACAGCAATCACCAACTATGACCTATTGGGTTTCGAGGCTGCTCCCTAGGAATGTCCATTCCTTGGGTACATCATCCAAGAACCAGAGAGTTGAGGATTGTCATCGACACCTGAGGCCTATGGGTACTTCTTACCCGTCCAAACGAGGTGGCAGGACAATGACCAGTATGGTCAGGTGAACAATGCCGTGTACTACAGCTACTTTGACACTGTTATCAGCCACTACCTGATCAGGTAGGCTTGGGGTCTGAGCCCCATGTCCTCATGTCAGCCCTCTCAGTTGGGAGTTCAGGCGGGGCATTATGGGAAGAGATACCTTCCATTTTCTTCTGCTAGTGCACCCTTTTTGTTGAGCCAACTGAAAGTCAGATTATTCAAGAGAAGAACAGGAGGACCAACATGTGAGTGAGGAAAGTGTCACCCTGCTGCTCTTGCAGTCTCAGGTGCTCGTGTATCTTGGTCCTTTGCACTAAATTGTCAGTAAATGTGCAGGCTTTGAATCTCAAATGAGCATCTACACAAAAAGCCACATGTGTTCAGACTTGAGCAGACAATACCATCAGCCCTCGGGCCTTTTTGTGAGAAAAGCAGCTGCTTCCCCCAGACAGGGCACATAAGGGGGAAGAGAGAAAGTTAAAGGTATGAAGATGTTATGGCCTCCGAGTGCAGCGCTGACATGATTGCCATCTGATGTGTGTTTGCAAGATTGGTTAGTATATATTCGGTTAATGTAATTCTCTATATGAAAGATTGTGTCATATAGACCCATCTGAGTAAATTCTACCTCCACGTTGCATTAGCTGTGCAGTTTTGAGCAACCTATTTAACCATATGGAGTCTTCTAGAAAAATAACTCACATTTGTTGAGAGCTTTCTCTGCATCTAGCACTGTGGAGCATTTTACAGAGACTTTTTAAATTGAGGGTATAATTGACATAAAACATTATACTACTTTCAGGTGCACAATGTTTGTATAATACTTGATATTTTTATACACTGTGAAGTGATAACCACAATACATCTAGTGACTATCCATCTCCATACAAAGTTACAAAAACTTGATTTTTTTTCTCATGATGGACACTTTTAAGATTTATTCTTCTAGCAACTTTCAAATATACAGGATAATTCTATTGACTATAGTCACCATGCTGTGCATTACATCCCTATGATTTATTTCTTAGAACTGGAAGCTTATACCTCTTGACCCCTGTCACCCAGTTTGCTCATCCTCCAGCCCCTTTCTCCCCATGGCACCACCATTCTGTTATCTGTATCTGTGAGTTTTGTTTTTAGATCCCACATATAAGCAAGTTCCTATTTATCTTTCTCTGACTTAATTTCACTCGTCATAATACCCTCAAGGTCCATCCACATTGTTGCAAGTGGCAAGGTTTCATCTTTTTATGGCTGGCTAATATTCCATCTTCTTTATCCGTTCATCCATCAATGTACACTTACGTTGTTTCCATATCCGGGTTATTGTAAATAATACTGCAGTGAACACAGGGATGCATATATCTTTTCAAATTAGTGTTTTCATTTGCTTCAGATAAATACCCAGAGGTGGAATTGCTGAATCATATGTTATTTCTATCTTTAATTTTTTGAAGAACTTCCATACTGTTTTCCATCATGGCTACACCAGTTTAAATTCCCCCACAGTGCACAAAGGTTCCCCTTTTCTCACATCCTTGCCAACAGTCGTTCTTTGTTTTTTTGAAATAGCTATTCTACCTGATATGAGGTGATATCTCATTGTGGTTTTGATTTGCATTTTCCCCTGGTGATTAGTGATATTGAGCATCTTTTCATGTGTCTGTTGGCCATCTATATGTCTTCTTTGGAAAAATGTTCAGATCCTCTGCCCATTTTTTAATTGCATTGTTTGCTTTTTTGCTATTGGTTTGTATGAGTTTTTAAATGTATCTTAGATGTTAACCCCTTATCAGATATATGATTTGCAAATATTTTCTCCCTTTCAGTATGTTGCCTTTTCACTTTGTTGACAGTTTCTTGTGCTGTGCAGAATCCTTTTAGTTTGATGTAGTCCCATTTGTTTATTTTTGCTTTTTTTTGCCTTTGTTTAAAAAATTAAAAAATTTTTTAATGTTTATTTATTTTTGAGAGAAAGAGAGAGGATGAACGGGGGAGGGGCAGAGAGAGAGACACACACACAGAATCTGAAGCAGGCTCCAGGCTCTGAGCTGTCAGCACAGAACCTGATGCGAGGCTTGAATTCATGAACCACGAGATCATGACCTGAGTCTAAGTCGGAAGCTTAACCGACTGAGCCACCCAGGCGCCCCTCGTTGCCTTTGTTTTTAAAGCCAGATCCAAAATATCACCAAGGGTGATGTCAAGGAATTTGCCACCTGCCTTTTCTTCTAGGAGTTTTATGATTTCAGATCTTACGTTCAAGTCTTTAATCTATTTTGAGTTATTTTTTGTGTGTCTAGATAGTCTAGTTTCATTCTTTTGCACGTGGCTGTCCAGTTTTCCCAAATCCATTTATTAATGAGACTATCCTTTTCTCATTGTATGTTGTTGCCTCCTTTGTTGTAAATCCATTGACTATACATGCATGGGTTTATTTCTGGGCTCTCTATTCTGTTCCATTGATCTGTGTATCTGTTTTTATGCCAGTACCATACTGTTTTGATTACTATAGCTTTCTAATAATATAGTTTGAAATCAGGCAGCATGGTGTCTCTAGCGTCTTTTGTGGTTCCCTACAAATGTTAGGATTGTTTGTTCTATCTCTGTGAAAAATTCCACTGAGATTTTGATAGGGATTGCACCAAAGTAGCCTTCAGTCAGTGACTGATGGGAGTTGGTATATAAATACCCCAGCTTCCTCACCTCTTGGATGAGATACCTCTGAGCCACCCACTTTACATAGGCTCCTGTGCTTCCCCAGTGGGATTAAGATCCAGTTCCCAGATTGGTAGTTTTTTAAAAAAAATTGAGTTAAAATTTATATAACTTAAAATCTCTTTTAACTATTTCAAAGTGTACAAATTCAGTGGTTTTTAGTACAGTCACAATGTTGTGCAACCGTCACTGCTCTCTGAATCCAGATCATTTCCATCACCCCAAAAAAGGATTTCTCATTTCCCCTCTCCTCCTTCCCTTGGCAACCATGAATCTACTTTCCATCTCTATAGGTTTGCCAATTCTGGACATGTCATATAAGTGGAATCATACAATATGAGGTCTTTTGTGTCTGTCTTCTTTCACTTAGCAAGATGTTTCAAGGCTGATCCATGTTCTAAAATGTATTAGTACTTCATTCCTTTCTATAGCTGGATGGTACCCAATTGTATTGTCATGCCAGATTTTGTTTATTCATCTATCAGGTGATGGACATTTGGGTTATTTCCACTTTTTGGGTTCTAAGAATAATGTGGCTATGAATATTTGTGCACAAGTTTTTGTAAGGACATGTTTTCAATTCTCTTGCATATATACATACTTAGAATGGAATCGCTGGGTCATGTGGTAATTCTGTGTTTAACTTGTTGGGGAGCTGTCAGACTGCTCTCCAGTAGCTGGGCCATTTATATTCCCACCAGCAATGTATGAGGGCTTCAGTTTCTCCATATCCTTTTCAACACTTTTGATTATCTAGCTTTTTTGTTATAACCATCCCGGTATGTGCGAAATGGTATCTCATTTTGGTTGATTGATATTTCCCTAATGACTAATGACGTTGAGTGTCTTTTTATGTGCTTGCGGGCCTTTGGTATATATTTTTTGGAAAAAATATCTGTTCAGATCTCTTTTCCATTTTTAATTGGGTTATTGTGTTTTTATTGTTGAGTTGCAGGAGTTCTTTTGGCTCTTGGGCCCTTATCGTATATATGGTTTACAAATGCTTTCTCCCATTCTGTAGATTTTTTTTCACTTTATTACCAGTGTCTTTTGAACAGATAAAAGTTTTAAATTTGATAACAGAGTGATAACTTCTTAAGTAGCAAAGGCTTTATTGGCTGCTTGCCCCTCCTGTAACTTCTGCACGGACACTTAATCCACAAAAAGTACCTCATAGTTCTTGCCCGCGTTGCACATTTGCTGTGCTAGTGAACTCAAATCTCTTCTTCTTTCAAGAGGATATGTATAGAGCAGCTTTCACTTTGAGTGTTCCTAGTTCTCTCTTGGGTGTTTTGTGGTCCTGAATCTTCAAACTAATTTTACTTTGTGTGCACCTGTCAGTAATTCTTCCAGAAATAGCTTATACTTGCTTACCTAGGAATAATAAACTGTTTTTTCAGCACTCATTTTAGCTTTTAGGAGAATGTGTGCTTTATAGTTTGAAATCCACAGCAGGAGGTAAAAACAGTATTTGAGGCTACTTGTAATTCCATGTCATTTGTCCTGTAGGGAAACTTGACAGCGAATTTTTCCAACGTGCTCAGGACTACTCACTCTTTTTAAGGAAGGAGCAGCCTTGTCACTTCTTTGGGTGGACTCTTAATCCCAGTGCCGTTGAGACCTAGTGTCTTAGTTCGGCTGCTGTAACAGAACACCAAAGCCTGGGTGGTTTAAGCAACAGAAATTTGTTTCTCACAGCCCTGGAGGCTGGCAAGTCAGATCAGGGTGCCAGCACAGTCAAGTTCTGGTGAGGACCCTCCTCCTGGTTTGCAGACACCTGACTTCTTTCTGTGTCCTCTCTTGGCTGAGAGCTCAAGCTCAAGTCTCTTTCTCTTCTTATAAGGATATTAATCTCATCATGGGGGCTCCACCCTTAGGACCTCATCTAAATCTAATTACCTCCCAAAGGCTCCATCTTCTAATACCACCCCAGGGGGGTTATGGTTTCAAATTATGAATTTGGGGGGCAACATAGTCATGCAGTCCATGCCAAACATGGAATGTTTGTGGCTTTTTGAATATCTCTCATTTATGAATGTGGGAAGTTGATGTGCAGATAATGATAATTGAGTCCTTTATCCATTGAAGATTGTGTCTGTGTGGTCCCAGTTTGTTTGAAAACTGTTTCACCCAAGGCCCGATTCCACCAATTTGTGGGAAGTTGGGGGAGAGATGGGGGTTGGCAGCATATAAGGAAGAATTCCTGACAGAAGAGTGTCCTTTCTCATGTCAAGGTCTCCAGATATTACACATTTACTCCAAAACTGTGAAAATACCCTGGCCACTGTGGCCAGGGACTTCCTAGTCATGACATACTCTCTCTGGAGACCTGAGGATTATCTCATAGGTGGCTGTCAGAA